CAATGCAATATTTACATAATGGATGTGTAAATTAAAATATTCATGTAATACGTTTTCTTACATAAAGTAGAAAGACACAAACAAAGCCCCAAAAAGGTAAGTACTCACTGGTAGGTTACAATTATTAAAATCATTATACTGATTATAAATTCCCTGACACCAGTACATAAATACGAAAACAGGGATAGCCTGAAGCTATGGTAGATAGAATAATAGCAAGCGCTATTAACCGAGTGACCTAAAACAGGTAAGGTATAAAAAAAATGGGCCTCAACAAAAGATTGTTATATTGATGCACTGAGCAGCATGAGTCGAATAGCTTTATATAACAATCTTTAAGGAGGAGAGAGGAGGGTAGGAAAACATTTAGTGCATGACGACCAACGTGGAGACCACAGACTCATTGCTAATACATTTTGGATGTTAGAGCTGATAATACGATAACGAATGTGTCTGCGATGCTCTGCCTTGCCCTGCTCCAGCCTGGTCTGTCTTGCCTTCCTTTACAGTACTACACTTCCATGTTCTACCCTGCACTGTGCTGTTTTAACCTGCACTATGCTGTTCTACCCTGCATGGAGCTGCTCTGCCCTTCACTGCGCTGTTCTAACCTGCACTGCTTTGCTCTATCCTGCACTGCACTGATCTACCCTGCGCTGCGCTGTTCTAACCGGCACTGCTTTGTTCTACCCTGCAGTGCGCTGTTCTACGCTGCACTGCTCTATTCTACCATGTAGTGTTCTGTTCTACCCTGCACTGCGCTGTTCTACCCTGCAGTGTGCTGTTCTACCCTGCACTGCGATGTTCTACTCTGCACTGCACTGTTCTACCCTGCATTGCGCTGTTCTACCGTGCACAGTGCTGTTCTATCCTGCAGTGTGCTGTTCTACCCTGCACTGCGATGTTCTACTCTGCACTGCACTGTTCTATCCTGCATTGCGCTGTTCTACCGTGCACAGTGCTGTTCTATCCTGCAGTGCGCTGTTCTACCTTGCACTGTGCTGTTCTATCCTGCACGGTGTTGTTCTACCCTGCAGTCCGCTGTTTTATCCTGCACTCCGCTGTTCTATTCTGCACTCCGCAATTCCATTCTGCACTTTGCTGTTCTAACCTGCAGTGCGCTGTTCTACTCTGCACTGCGCTGTTCAACCCTTCACTGTGCTGTTCAACCCTGCACTGCGCTATTCTACCCTGCATGGCGCTGTTTTAACCTGCACTGCGCTGTTCTAACCTGCACTGCTTTGTTCTACCCTGCACTGCTCTGTTCTACCCTGCAGTGCGCTGTTCTACCCTGCACTGCGCCGTTCTATACTGCATGGAGCTGTTCTACCCTGCACTGCACCGTTCTATACTGCATGGAGCTGTTCTATACTGCATGGAGCTGTTCTACCCTGCACTGCGCTGTTCTACCCTGCTCAGTGCTGTTCTACCCTGCTCAGTGCTGTTCTACCCTGCTCGGTGCTGTTCTATCCTGCACTGCTTTGTTCTACCCAGCACTGCTTTGTTCTACCCTACACTGCTCTGTTCTACCCTGCACTGCTCTGTTCTACCCTGCAGTGCGCTGTTCTACCCTGCACTGCGCTGTTCTATACTGCATGGAGCTGTTCTATACTGCACTGCGCTGTTCTACCCTGCTCGGTGCTGTTCTATCCTGCACTGCGCTGTTCTACCCTGCTCGGTGCTGTTCTATCCTGCACTGTGCTGTTCTAACCTGCAGTGCATTGTTCAACCCTGCACGGTGCTGTTCAACCCTGCACTGCACTGTTCTATCCTGCATGGAGCTGGTCTATCCTGCATGGAGCTGGTCTATCCTGCACTGTGTTGTTCTACCCTACACTATGCTGTTCTACCCTACCTGTCTTACTTCAGACACAAGAGAATTATGGCAATGATACTAAATTTCTGTATTTTTTCTAAAACCTTCAATACTGATTGGTGGAAACACACCATCATGTTTAGCATCAGCTGGCTATATATCTAAGTGCTATGAGTGATGTTGGCATTGTAATTGAAGTTTTGTCTCCTGTACGAGCCATTTGGTTATTCTGCAGATCATTTCCCCCTAGTCTCCATTTGAATATCAGCATTCTGTTGGGGTAATGGGCGGCAGGTCCTCATTGCAGCTGGTTTTGCAATTGTTTAAATGACCGTCTACTTTAACAACAGTAGCAATAAATTTATATTATTAAATGAAATCTCATTAATCACAGGATCACTGCTACCAGCTACAACCGATGGCTAGTTACCGCGCGTATAAACAAACACAGACACCTTTCAAATAATCTTTATTTTGATCCCAGAGACATTTTGTGCCAATTTATACCTTAAGTATTGGAGATATGTGAATATATTTATTTGTGTCTCTTTGAAGGACACTATTATAAGAAATATATGTACATTTAAATATTGCGTACTGTAAAATAATATCAGTAATATCTGTACAAGGACTGAGCTAATGATTTGTAAAACAGTTTCAATCGTTAGGAATGTGTTTAAAGGTGACAGAATGGTGTAATGGTAAAAAGACATGTCCTTACTAGACACTACTGGAAAAAACCATCGTAATCAAGAAATGTATGTGAAAAAAATGTCCATCACTCCACCAAGTTCTTTTCTTTATCACCAGAAATTGCAATCCACAGGCTTCTCAATCAATGCGGGTGCTCTATGGTCTGGTTTATTAGTGTACACAAGATTGAAGATCCCTCTTTCCCGTGACTTCTGCTGGGGTGCTGGACATTGGGGACGTACCATTGCCAAACGTGCCACACCACCCAATCTATTGGAACTTCTCCTTTGCACATTCACTGCCACAATTAATATTCAAAAAATAATATGGGTTAATGTGAAAAAAAGTGAATGAAAATAATTAATTGAAAATATCGCTCAAGAAACAGTGTGTTAAAAAAGATAGGGATATGTCTCCCATGATCCCTTACAGCCTCTCTCTTGCAAAATTGTCTCCCTCGCACAGTGGATAACTATAAAGGATATAAAGAACTGGGTCTGTAAGTTATTGTAAGTCCTGTGCCCCCTTCCCTCCAACAATGCGTGATGATACATTTTATTGTAAGTTATTTTTTTAAAACTTTTTATCCCCTAATATATTTAAAAAATCAGTACATTTCAATGGTTAAAATGTATTCAATTTAATTTTTATGGTATGTCTGAACAGAATTTCTGCTTTATCCTATATTTATGTCCGAGCCATGTGTCAAAATATAATATGCATTTTTTTGGGGGGGGAGGAGAGGATATAAATCAATCTCTTGGTACTGAAGGGTTAATCTGTAACAGTGTTCCAGGCAGCTTGCAATCAATTTGCAGGCACTGCACACGCACATTCCCCACCATTCCCCTTTAACAGCCCAGTCCAAGATGTAATAAAATGTTTTCTTGTGACAGGCCAGAGAAAACGATTCTGTGATTTTAATGCATGACTCACACTTTCTGAAGATATTACTCAGGTCTTGGAATGAGCATTGCGTTGGCCTCTGTAGTACTTGTGTACCAATATCTAGTTGCATAGATTACATTTCAATAGAACCAATGTAATGCTTGACTGCTAAACTCTTTTCATCGCTGCCTCTTATATACAGCAAGGTCGTGGTCGGGCAGAGTACGGAACTCATGCTCTATCTATGAGAAATGAAGGTGATTGTGTTCGATAACAAGGTGAGTGGGCAGAGGATTTGCTTTGCTATTGATTTATGATCCTTTTCAGAATGATTGTGGTAATACGCATGCAGGTGTCTACGATCGTGTACGCTTAATGAAACCAAACTGTAAAATCAACTTTATATAAAGTGGTGTCATGTGATGACATGGACTTCTTGTAGTGGTTATGGTGTTATTAAATTAAACAAATTTATATGGTGGGAAAAAAAATCTCCTAAACTTTATGCTTTCCTTTCAGTCACTAACATGATAGTGGGCAATTTCCTTTTCTCGTCATCTGTCCAAATATTTGGACATCACCACCATGCAAATATATGGACATTTATGGCTACATTTTATTCAATGAGATAAGCATATCTCGAAACTCCACAGTGATTTGTTTCCCACGGATGTCAAAGGGAACCTTGCTATTTTATTAGGTATTTTAAAGGGTTTAGTAGATAAAACCTAAAAGCACAAAGGAGATAGCGCTTCTATGTTGCGGTAACATTTATTGCAGGTACAATTAAGTGCCCCACTCCGATGTAGTGAACTCACAAAATCAGAAAATCGAGTGGGCAGGATGAGCAGGTAATAAACTATTCAAATACAGTCTTCTGGCCTGTGTGGATGCTGTAGGCTTTGTTCAGGGTACTCCTTGTCTGTGCACCTCCCAGTATGGATGGGGGTTGGTATAAATCAATTCGGTGAGCGTTCTGCTCCCACGCATTTCATAAGTCTGCACTCACCGATACGGCAACCTTTATATATGTAACCCCATTTTCGGCAACACAGCGTTGTTTAAAGGAACAGTATCCATAAAAACTATCTTTAATAAAAGTTCTTGACTAAAATACATCTGTTTGGACTATTTCGAATGTGGCTTTTAAATATTCTATATTTAATAAATGAATAAAGCTTGTTCTATAGTCACGTACTAAAACAACTCCATATTAAAAAAGACATTTTCAAATACACAATATAATAAAACCTAAGCCACAGCTAGACCGTATAAGCTTAAAAATAATTATAATCTGAAGTCAATCTAAAAATCTCCCTTAAGGAAGAAATAAATAAATACATGGTAGTGGATAATCAACTATTGATTCATACATAGAAATTGTACATTATCCACACTGACAATGCTGTTGGAGATGTATACTCTATACCACTATATGATTCAAGCCCAATTTGGTTCTAATGTTTTTTATCACTATTAAAATAAGCTATGGAATACATTATAGTGGTTATGATGCTTACGCTGATCCTTTGGTTGAAATAAGACAATTTGATAAATATGGAGATAGATTTTATTGTAACCTTTTATTAACTCTTATGAACTGGTAACAAACACCACACAGTTTGCTGTTTATGTGAGCAATGGCCATCGGAGGTTTACCACCAAATCTTTAATATTAGATATGTGCTTATGTCTCTGTGTGAGATTTGGTATTTAAAACTCGTTCATGGGATAATCTTTTTGCTATATGCTGTTAGCAGCGCCAGCCAATGATCATTTATTTTTGACTATTGTAATTTACACAGTGATAGGACGGACCTTTAATGAGTATTAAACACGCAGAAGGAGATTCTGTTCCAGCTGAAACCTTACTTGGAACATTTCTTTGTGAAAAGACACATCATGAGCAGAAAACCTCTGGCATGATGGTTCTAAAAAAAAAAATCTAATGGAAATGAATTACATTTGCCAATTAGGCTTTTTATGCTCTATTTTAATGTGACTTTTGTCTGTTACACATATAGAAAGAATAAAATACAAATCCTAAAATCCACTGCTATGCAAAGATAGAACAGAAACACGAGGGATTGGGGCCTGACAGTCGAGCGAGCAGGATGCATGCTGAAGTAACTCCTCGGCATATTCTGTGAAATTGGCCCATAACTCGTGATATTTTGAAAATTACCTGCTGAATTTGAATTTGAACTCTGGACTGATTTTTACAGCTCTGCTGAGAGTCCTGACATTTAGTGCTGCCTGCTATCCATTCAACATATCGTTGGTTACCCGAGCCTGATGCCCAATGGTGGGTAGAGACAGACGCATCTTGCAGCACTGCTTTTGCCGCCCCATTCCCCCCCCTCAGGTGGGGAATATCTTGGTCCCCACTGGGGTTTAAAGTTTCTAAAGCGGCAATTTCCATATCTTATGACCGTGTGGTGCGCTCAATATGGCCATCGTGTCAGAGCCACAGTTCAGCCAAGGAGGGCTTGTAAGCCATGTGGAGTGGAGAATATAGTTTGATGCCAGATTTAATGCACTATGCCTGGAGTTCTGATGCTGAATCAGTGCGTGACAAAAAGTATATAGGTATTAATCTGAGGCGCTTTCTCTTTAAGAAATTTATGAAATATATTATCTCTTCAATCTATATTAAACCTGTGCCGCTATCCTCTAATTTCCCCTAAGTATAAAAACTCAAAAAACTCAATATTAACAACAGTGAGTTAGCGCACAAAAATGGAAATAACCCCCAAACGTGAAGAGCAAAATTTATTAATGATATTTATTTGGGTGAAATATCATTCAGCAGAAAGGCCATGCAAAATTAGGTATGTTATCTCTCTTATGAAATATTTCTCGTCTTGTTGCCTATATCTGCAAATTTGCCGTGATTCTGTTTATTTTAAAATTAAAAGAAGCTTGCGTAGGCTTGTTCTTGTTGCTGTGGATTAACACTAATGTTTGTAACTCTGAGCACTCTAAATAAAGATTGATAAAAAACAGAAACATTTTGGTATGACTTCTCAAGAAAATGGCGGTTGCTAGGACAGATTGGTGGCCCACAGGAGGGGTCAGTGATGCCATTTGCTACTGTAGTGCCTGTTCACAGCGTTTGCACTAATCTTGTCTAATGATTGTCATGCCAGGTGTGCATAACTCATTGTTGCACAATAGAATATTGCCCTTTAATGTAATTTGTGTAGTGTATATATAAATTGGCCTCATTTTTATTATATTTAGAATGGGATAAGCACAATCTTCTAATCAAGCCCAAACATGATTTGCGTAACGTAACCATAGGGGAAGGGATTGTGATGTCCGCTATATTGGGTCACAAGTAAGGAGTGTGACATATCTATGGAATGGAAAAATGGTAACAAATTCATAAATGCAATTATTATTTCTGTGGAAAGTACATTAGAGAAGATAAAACCAAATGTTTCCATTTGGATTGATGTTGGTCTGGAACACAAGGGGGTGGTCACTTATAGTTACTATAGGTATGCCTTGCCTCCACCTCTGGGTGAGTTTTGGTAATCCACAGGGTATATATCTAATGATACTGAAGTATGTATTGTTCTTGCTGGGAAGCCAGAATCTAATTCTGAGTGAGTCACTATCTTCCTTACCAGAGACCCCCTGGGCAGAAGTTTTACTTTGAAAAGCTGAGTAAGTGATTAGAACTTCTGGTATTTTATCCCTTTTGTTTTTATCTGTTGTTGGTGTAACTAATTTAGCATCTAATTTTTGTATGCACTGTGACTATTTTTTGCTCATAATAAATATTCCTTTATTAAGTTCTGCCTTTGTCTGGTAAATAATTACGTTACCTGAAGAGACTAATTAGTGTTTAGCAATCGTTTAAATATTGTGCTCAGTTGTATTTGGTGGGTTTTTATTATTAAGTTACCTGGGAGACCAAGGCACCCCATTTATAAATTGTCTTGGTGGTGGCAGCATTAAAATAGTAATGTTTATATTATTATGCTTACATGTGGGTGGTGTTAAGGGGGCTTTTTATCATTATTTCAGGTCTAGTGGAGACAAATAGTGAACTTTAACCCTTTCACCACCACAACTACGTCACGCACACTCTTGGAGTAGGGTGCGTTCGTAACAATGATGTCTTTACAGTTTGTTGACTGAGGACAGTTCCCTGGAATAAAACCAGAACCATTGCAAGGGAAATAGTACAATCATAATCTGTTTCTATAATTATAATTATGTACACAAAACTACCAATAATGACTTCAACAGCTGGTTATATTCTGCCATGAGAGGGTAATGTAATAACAATAAACATAAAGATATAGGTATTCACATGAATAAGTCACACTAGAGACATGAGAAAAATTGACGTTAGTTTGTTCATTATAGTTTTATTCAGTGAATCATTGAAGATTATTTGATTCTTTTGAAAGGACCTGGTGTATTTTTATGATTGACCTAAGCATATTTTTACACAGTCTCAGCAGGACCTTCTGCCTCATTGAAATAGACTTTTCCAATTATTGAGATAATGTGATAGAATGAGATTTTATTTAAAGGATTCTGCTATGAAAAGTGATTAATTAATACATGTTTGTGATGCGGGACCCAGCTCTCAAATTCATAAATGGATAAAACCAACAAATGAAGTACTAATTCTCATAATTTCACAATCTAAATGGAATAAGGGAAACACAAGGTATAGAGAGAGCTTGGCTCACAGGCTTACAATCTAGAGGGATTAAGAAGGGACAGGGAAACAAAAAATATAGAGAAAAAGTTGGCTCTCAAGCTTACCATCTAGATAGAACAGAGATAGAAAAACATAAAGTATAGCAAGGGGAGAGTAGATGCTGCTACCTGTAAGCTTAAGGGACACTATAGGCACTCAGATCATTTCAGTTCATTGTAGAGGTCTGGGTGCAATGTCCCTGCCTCCCTTAGTACTTCAATGTAAATCACTGCAGTTTTTGAGAAACTGCAATAATTACATTGCAGGACTAAGACTGCCTCTAGGGCCTGTCAATCAGTCACTAGTGGCACTTCCTGCTTGCTAGACGACTTTTGGTCGTCTGACGCTGGCCGTCCACACTCTCTGCATGGGGATGTCTGGTGTCAGTAAGTAGGAAAGCACTGCAGAAATGCTTTTATAGGGAGGGCCTAATGCACTTGCGGCACATGTGCATTAGCCCCCCGTCGAATGATGCTGGAGGAGGCTGAGTGCCAACCCAAGAGACATCTGAGCTAAGTACCAAAAGTGTTTTCTAACCCTTTCCATGCCACCCATGCCATCCATGCCAGGGGGCGCAAGGAAAGGGGGAAGAAAGGGAGCTATAGTGTAAGGAATACTTATTTCTGTTTCTTACACTATAGTATCCCTCATACAGTGTATACAGACAGAGGGTAACTAAAATTGAGAATTGATGAAATCCACCAGTTCTAATTGAAATATCCGTAACATCCTCCAAAAAGATGAACTGTGAGAAAAATTGTGAAAATTTTGAGAAAAAAAAAAATCAAACAGATTTTATTGTAATTACAGAAATGTGGGTAAACTCAGGAAAACTTTTGAGTAAGAGTGTTTGGTAATTGGTGATAAGGAAGGATCAGGGATTCCATATGAAGTGTGAAGAGAATGATGGAAAAGGTACATCAGAATAAAGGTTTTAGACATAATATAAAAGATTGATAATATATTGAAATTTCTACTAAATACTGGAAGCAAAGCCCATTATAGCGAGGATTAACATGATTCTGTAACTAAAAATGCACATGAAAGTGTGCGGTGCTCTGACATCATCTACCGCCACGTGACAGCCATATTTACCTTGTGCGTATGTACATATAGTCATAGAAATTGGGAGATCCTGCCCTCTATGACGACTAATTATATCTGTATATAGCATGCCTGCATTGTATATCTCTAATCACATCTTACAAAGCTTGTAATTGTCTTTCTACACATAACAAATCATATAAAAACACATTAATATGAAAAATAAAATATGCTGCTTAGTAATAATGACGTTAACTGTCCTTGTCATTTCTCTCTCTTTTTTAACTACTGGGTTAGTGGTTAATGCAGCACTGGGAAATACATATCCTGCTCTGATTGGTGGGAGTTACACTTAATTAAAAAGTCACTATGGGCATCAAAACAACTTTAGCTTAATGAATCAGTTTTAGTATCTAGATCATGCCCCTGTTGTCTCATTGCTGAATTTTCTGCCATTTAGTAGTTAAATCACTTTTGTTTCTGTTTATACAGCCCTAGCCAGAACCTCTGCCTGTGACACAGCCTGCATGAAGGCATGGTTTTATTTATTAATCAGATGTTAACTTGCTTTAGAAGTTTTAATCTCCTGCTCAATATATTGTACTTTAATCACAAACAGGAGGCTCCTGCAGGTTCTAGAAGTCTATTAACAAAGCAGGAGATAAGAAATTCAAGATTAAACAAACTGTGCAATAAAGGAACCTAAAATGTACTTCCTTTACAGAAAGTGTTTAGAAAGATTGTGCAAGTCATATGAAGGGAGGTGTGACTAGGGCTGTATAAACATGGTGATTTAACTCCAAAATGTCAGAGAATTGAGCAGTGAGACAACAGGGGCATGATCTATACACTATAACTGCGTCATTAAGCTAAAGTTGTTTGGGGGCTATGGTATCCCTTTAACCATTAATTAAGTCCCTCTCCTGAAATTAATATGTTGGGAGAGAGGCCGGATAGATAGAATTAAAATGTCTGTCTGAGCCCCAATAATAGGAAAGATAATAAAAAATTGTAAAACTACCCAGGAATGTGACTACAACTGATATACAAAGTAAAATAAAACACAATATACATACATAGCTATGTATAATATATGTGACCTGTGATTATATGTGAATGTCCTGGAGGGTTGCAATATAAAATTCACACCATATGTTTCAATAAACATAGAAAATATATCTAAATACAAATAATATTCTTTCTTGAATTTAAATGAAAAACATGATGTACTGTACAGAACTTCTGCCGAATGGGTGCTCTGAGCACGTGGGAGATCGTAGGCCACAATATTGTAATCAATATCCTCGCGACATAAAGCATCAAAGTACAGTTATATTGATATAATATTTTTTTAGCTTTTTGCTGTGCTTGTGTGCAGTTATTAGAAAACCACGCTTTGTTGATTTCTTTTTATTTTGTGCCAGGTCAGGATCTGATTGTGTTGTGATAAGCCAAGGTTGCGGACTTTTCCAGTTGTTTTTCGAGGAATACATCGAGGTCATGGGAGGTTTTCTCAAGCTTTTCTGCGAGATGAGAGGTCGATCTCAGCAAGTGATCCATCATATGAAAGTTTTTTCTCAGCCTGCATATGAAGAAGGAGAAAACGTAAATCACTGTTGAAAAGAACATGCGGCTTATCTGTTGAGTGAGATTTTTCTCCTAATGATTTAAGTGCTTAGAGGCAATGCCTCACTTATGTTTGAAACTGATAGCATTTTTAAAAGCAAACAATCTAGTCACTAATATTCATGTGTTCATGATTTAAAGGGATACTATAGTGCCAGGAATACAAAGCTGCATTCCTGGCACTATTGCTCCCTCTGCCTCTCCACTCCCTCACGCCCCTTCCCCCCCATTCCCAGTGAAAAACCCTTTACTTATTTATCTTATCCCATTGCAGATGTCCCTCGGCGTTCGGTCAGAGCCCCTCCACCCCCGACATCCCGTGATGATCAGAAACAAATGTGCATGAGCGGAAAATTCGGAGCATGCATTAGACCTCCCCTTAGGAAATCAATGCTTTCTGGTTGGGAAAAATCTGATGCTGTATGAGGACGTCCAGTGTCAGATACCGGACCAAAGGTTCTTTTCGATCCAGGAAGCACCTCCCCCCCCCCAGTGACTGTCTGGTAACTTAGAGCTGCAACGTAAATATTGCAATCTTTCTGAAATTGCAATGTTTTACATTGTAGCACTAAGTGCAAAAGGGACACTGCACCCAGACCACTCCAATGAGCTTCAGTGATCTGGATGCCTATAGTGTCCTTTTAATGTAGCAAGATTTGTATACAGTAAGAAAAACATTTGATTTTTTGAGATGTTTGGTGTTTTTCATTTCTGCATGTGTGTGCATAGTATTCGAGTGTGAATGGAGGTGTTTATGGGTGTGGATTGTCAGTGTCAGTGAATGTATTTATCATTGTGTTTGAAAATAAGAGTATCAGTCTGTGTGCGTGATGTTTGCATGTAGAGAGTGCATGTTTGTGGAACAGTTATGTGTTAATATGTTGTGGTATTGAATGCTCCAAGTGTTCTGCTGTATTCTGAATGCATTTTCTCTTTCACCCATCACACCATACCATCACACTACTGTTTCTATAATCACCCCATTCCTGTGTCTTTTCATCTCATCCTCCATTTGAAGGTCTCTGTTCCACAGTCATATCTCTTAACTATCAGGATAATTCACTAAACACCGGACTTTGTCCAAATGGACAAAGTTTGGCGTAAATGGTTGAATGGCATCTCTCATATTTACTAAAGACAAACCTAGTCTGAATTCAGAGCACTGTCTCACTTCTCTCGAGACTTAATTGAAATTATTCCCATTACTAGTCATGAGAGAAGCTAACCAACCAGTGCGATCTAATGAGAATGTAAAGAGTGTGTATCTATCTATCTATCTATCCATCTATCTAGCCGACGTTTCGACCCATTCGGGTGTTTCTCAAGGTTAATGTACCTAGCTATAAAAGTTATATATATATATAAGAAATAAGAAAATGTACTCACCAATCATGAAAAAAAACCTGAATCCCTTCATGCATACCCTGAAGTGAAACTGGAAGTGAAAAGCCGCGATCACGTGACATGCGTGCAATGACGTAGTGTTGCTAGGATAACGATAAACAAACATAATTATACGATCGGTATAATAATCTCACGTGTTTATACCAAGTATGCATGTGAAATGAATGAAATCTATTCATAAAGTGTATGTATGCTATCACAAAAG